AGCGATTGAGATGGATTTTGAATGATGAACTCCAGGTTGTCATTTGGTTTTGTTGAGATTTATTATTGCTGTTATCATTTTGATTTGATATATTGGCTTATTGGGAGTGTTATTTAATCAGCAAATCCAATCCATTACGAGTTTATGCCTCTTTTATCACCACTATCAGTAATATCACATACATCCTTCCTTGGCATTCTTTTTTCCGCGTAGGTAGCGATAATAGCGTTTGGAATCATCTGTTAGTGTTATTGTCATTAACATTATTGTTATCATTATTATGAAAAAGTTATAGACGATCATGAATAATAGTCTCAAAGTGGCAACAACGTTAATCGAAGACGTAGAAATGGCGCTGTTGGTGTGGACTGAATTCGGTAAAGGTTTGATCAAGAAATTGAAAGTATCACCCGATGGTTTTCTGCAAATGTGTCTTCAGCTGACATATTTTAGGGTTTGTTCATTTTATCGTATAAGTTGTTGTGAGTGATTTCTACTGATATCTTTTATGTTAAAGTTAATTTTATTTTTGATTTTTATGTTAAAGTTAGAGCCAGCCATTGATACTATTACTGATGGTTTATATATTCGTTTGTGCATAAAAAATGTATTAGACAATAATCAAAGATGTTTTTAGCGAATTTTTTGGTCAAATCAAGCAGTGAATTCTCAAACTTTCAGAATATTTTCAATTCAATACGAGTGAAAATTTTAATTCTGAACGGGAATTAGACTGTGAATGATTAATAATCTAGATGAAATGTTTTTAGAATCAGCATAAATTTGCGTTAACATACGAGGCCGCAATGACCCGACTGTATCGTGAGGGTCGAACCGAGACCGTGCGATCGTGCACAAAACAGAGTTGTGAATTTGTATGTGCGATGCTTGATCCTGAGAAAACGGTGGGTTCGATTGGATTTATTGTTGTTGTGGTTGTTTTGTTTTTAATTTTAAGAATTACTTATGCTTGATATTTCTGAATATTTGGATTTTTGAATGTTTACTGAAGCATTTTAGAATTTACTTGAACGTTTATGATTTAAGCGTGAGGAGCGATTGCGTTTATTGCACACTGCATGCGTGCGACATCAGGAATTGTATCGGTCGGCAATGTGCGGAAAAGGTATCGATAGGCACTTGTTCGCTTTGTAAGTTGACTTGCTTGTTCTTTTTTTTGATCAGCTGATGGAATTGGAATGTGTTTTTTGTTTCTTTTACTCAAAAGTGGGCAAATGCGCGCTATTCCGCTACTGCGATATTTCGCTAGCAATATGCAGTAGAAGTGTTGTTCCTTGATAATAGTAATATACAGTAGTAATAGTATTAATCGCTAGTAATACACAGTAGAAGTACTCTTACTTGATCAGTGAAATATACAGTAGAACTAGAGGTGGTCAGCTGCTTCCACTTATATTTGATTGATCAAGGAACAATCCCAAAAGGTGTACATTTTTGTGGATAGTTTACCTGTTTCTATGCCTAAGACTGATCCTGACCCTCTAACTTCTAACGATACGTCCTAGTTCGATGTAGACAACACTGCAAAACGCATAGCTTTTGGAAATGTTCCTCATGATTTTATTGAGTGTATGAAACCACAGAAGCTAGAAGAGCAATTCTTCTAAAGATTCTCAAGATTACCACAATCGAAGGGTTTGACTGTAGTGGATGTTCTATCTGTTTTTCCAAGATGGGCTGAGTGATTCTGAGTTATTTGAAACGGAACTATAAAACTATGATAGTTTCATGGTTCATTACGTATTCTATTCAGTTGCCTTTTGTTCATCTAGTTTCATCTTTATTATACTCAAGTAAGAATCAGTTCTTCGTTATTAAAACGGGATTTATTATTCGTTGAATTGTCTGCAGATACGTTGTGAAGCGTTATCTGGAAGAGGAGTCGCCGTTCCTAGATAAGGTCTTCCCACCCACATACACACTTTCGACCAGTCAAACACCGTTGTATCAGTGCTGTGAGGAGTCAAAACTTATGACGCCCNTAATGGCTATGGAATATCATACAATATTGCTGGTGAAAATCAAATATCTTTCCACATTTCGTCGAAGAGATCAGCGGAAAACACGGTTTGTTTTGGAAATTTTTATTGATTCTTATGACGGCTTTTTCATTCATTTCTATTGAAAGTGCTTTTGTTTATATTACTACAGCTAACAGTAATGTTCTTATCGCTTTGTCGTTTGTTCATCGTAATATGAGGAGATCGTAACCATTATTTGATTGGTGATCTTGGCTGATCACCCAAACTGTTGGGAGTGAAAACATGAAAGATTTGCAATTCGGGTAGAACTGGCAATGAATAATTATTGAAAAATTGATCGTTTCGCATCCCATATTCTCAATTGTATATGGACCATAACTCGATTTATGAGAAGATATGTGATCAATTACAAAGTGATCAATATTAAGTGATCAATTTTTTTCTTCGTTTTAGAGTTCGGCTGGATTTCGTGATGATTTGGTGAAGAGTTTACGTGAGATGCGTGATTTGTTTCTTGCTGACACCATTGAGATGAATGGAAAAGTATAAGCAATTGACGATTCACGGAATTGATGGAGTGGAATCAATTTTGTTGGTTATTTTGAATGATATATTTAGAGTACTTGAAGAGAATCCTAAAAATTGGATTTATATCATTCGTTTGTGATTTTATGTTTTTGGATATACGTGTTGTTGAATTTTAATGTGAAGTGACACTTTCATGTCGAATTTAACTTTTGAACTTAATTCTGTCATTTTGCTCCTATCGGATTCAGTTTCGATAGCCATATCTCTTTTGTTGTTTATTTTGTTCGCTTTTGATGGATAAATGTTCATTTTGTGAAAATATATCTTGGTGAGTCGAAAGTTTTGACTGTCGTCCTTTTAATGAGTGTTTGATGGTGATGTAAGACAGATATGGATGCGATATTTTAAAGTAGAGTGAGGAGTGTTCAGGAGGGATTATCAGTGTTTTGCGATGAACGGCAGTTCTGGAAAGGGCTCATGCAGGAGAAATATTCCGGAAGGAGAGATTTTAAATGAGAACCTCATTGAGAAATCTTAATATTGATGAAATATTGAATGAAAGATTTGACTTCTTTACTGGAAATTAGATGGAAAATTGAGAGAATGAGTTGAAAAAATGCTGATTATTTTTGAAATGAGTAGCTGAAAATTCTCATTCCTCTAAATAAACGAAAGACTCCTTTGCATATGCTATTGTCCGGTATCGAAAATTCTAAAGGAAACGGGCCGTTCTGAAAGGAAAATTCTCACTTACGTTAATCGTTCGTAATGCATTTTTCAATCCTTATTAAGATTGCTTTTCATTTCATTTTGGTTTGATTTACGCATTTTGTTGTCACATATTGTTTGTTATTGTTATTTGATTAGAGTTATCTGATTGTAATCTGATTTAAGAATGAGATTANTTAGGTTAGCTATTTGATGGTGTTACGCTCATTATTATTTCTTAATTGCTCACAGCTGAAGATTTCTAACGCTAACTATGTGAATTGTTACGATTCGCTAAGCTGTAGAATGTTTCGGTATTCGATTNAGTTAAGGTATGTTTACGTTTAGGTTAGCTATTTGATGGTGTTACGCTCATTATTATTTCTTAATTGCTCACAGCTGAAGATTTCTAACGCTAACTATGTGAATTGTTACGATTCGCTAAGCTCTAGAATGTTTCGCTATTCAATTTTCTTAGTTCTTTATTTATTTCTTTCGTCGGTCAGTTTTTTGTTAATTCATAAATTCCTCTAAATGTTTATTCCTTTGTTTTCTCTTGAAATTTTCATTGATCCATTAAATTGTGTTCGATTGAATCACCGTACGGCTAGGTGAAATTTTTAAGTTTCATAGTTATCATACAGGATTCGGTTAGATCACGAATGCTATCGTTCGATTTGGCATCGATTTGGATATTTTATTTGGTTCACATTTTAATTTGTCACATTTAACAGTTTGTTGTACGGCTGAATTGTATAGCAACAAATGGATGGTTTGATGCAATGGCTAAATGTTTTCATTAAAATGAAATTGTCGTAATTTTTGAATGCGAAACCGAGTTAGGAAACTTGTAAGATCAGGTTTAAGCTTGACTTCGTGATGACTGTTTCGAAAGGTGAAAATACACTTTGTAGTTGCGTTGTACATATTTATATAATTGATGATGGATGCTATTTGCTCGAATTTTTATTTATTCTGTCTTCGATTGAAATTTCGTTTTTTATTTGTTGTATGAATAAAATGCTTTGCATATTTATGAGTTTGCTCAATTTGTTTGCAGTTTCAAGTGTCAAGGAGGTGAATAAATCCAGATTAGATAACTTGTCATATCCGTAGGAAAAAAAGATTAGGATTGGATGCCGAAGGAAACCTTGAAAAGAGTGGTATCTTGAGAGTAGTCTTTCACGAAATGCCATGTTTCTCCACTTTTAGCTCAAATTATATCAGTTAAGGTTGCCAGCAAGTGCAGATCTTGCCTCTACAGTCATGGTTTTTACGCTGTTCATGTAGAAGTGAGATTATAAGCTTTCAAAAATTCAATACAATTGGTGGGATGTATTTCTGGTCATTGGATTGCAATGGGACATCTGCAACGGGACAGACAAAATTTTCGGTCGGTCAGAATCCTGCGGAATTCGTATTTCGGGATTCCGGCATTCGAAATTCCAATTGACCTTCGCAATCGCTAGGTAGGGATTCGAATCGGTCGAGATTCCAACCGAAATTTGTGGGATTTTTCCGACCGAACGTCGGTCGGAGCCATCAAACATAGAACATTCAGAGAGCAAATGAAATACTTGAACGACATTATCCGATTTATTTATCCAGATTAGAAACATAAAAATGTGAAAGCAATGAAACAAATTTATGCATAAAGGATAATAATATCAATGATAGTAGTACCAGTAGTAATAATATCAATTAAAACAAGAATAGTAACGAAAACAATGACAATGGCAATAAGAAAAGACTAAATAACAGCGATAACTATTAAGTTGTTCGATCATTTGTTCTGATCCGACGAGCTTCTTTTCTGCTGTGAACGCCCGACCTGTCCATATCAGTTAGGTCAACCTCTCTGACGTCCATCTCCTCCAGTTTGAGGAAGGCGCACTCCATATGATGTTCCGGATTAGGGTCACTTGTTATTAGCCCCGCGGTTGTTAGTATTTTAGGTCGCTTGATGTTGTTTGCCGTCTTGTTAATAGTTTCACACTTGGAGCAGCGATAGTACCGTTTCTGACCTTGACTATGGGTGTGACGGTACACGCGACAACTGTTATCACCCGTCTTGACCACCAGTGAATTGCCTTTTCCTCGGAGTGATAGCGGTGTCTGAATATTGTTCGTGGCACTCACCTACAAATGAGGAAAAGTAGTGAATGAATGATACGAGTAAAGTAATAAATGCTAAATTGTGATTTCATGTTAAGTGTATACCTGCAGTTCGTCACCATTTGCGCCTTCCGTATTGCGCTGACGTTCGGCTCCGTCGTCGTCCCCAAACGGTTCTGTCATCGTCGTTACGCAAACCGTATTCGCTGATGTCATCGTTGCTGCGTCTTGAGTGGACACATCGATATCCGTCATTGTCCCGACGTCGCAAGAAGTAATCGCCGTATTCGTACCAATGCTTCGGAACTTTTCTAAAGAGGAGGAAGAACAAGAAGAAGCAGTACCAGAAGAAGAACCAGAAGAATTAGAGGAGGAAGAAGAATAAGAGGAAGCAGATGTAAACTTCCCAGCGTTCAACTTCGAACGGGCCTCAGATAGGATCTGTCGGCGTTTGTAGGCACCTTTGACCATAGCGATAGCGGTAGATTATTCTGATTTCTTTCAATGGTATTTAAAATGGAGTTTGAAAATTCGGAGATTAAATACAGCTGCGACTGTAGAAAACTTGAAGGGAAGTGCGGAGTGTTGAGGATTATCCAGGTCACGGATAATCCAGGTCACAAGGAAGAAGTACACACTGAAGATACGCTGGAAAAATCACATTAGTCTCATGGATTAGTTGGGCCAATTGAAATGGCAATCAACAACACTAATGCGGCAGACAACAGCTACAGTGCCTTCAGGTTGTAATTACTGCTTGCCCGTTAGGCATTTCAGTGGACTGAGGACATTAATTTGACAAACAACAGTGGAAACTGCCTTCAGGCTATCATTATTGCTTGCCCGTTAGTCATTTCAGTGAACTGACAATGAGCATACAGTATTTTTGGTACTTTTTTTTCGTTCAACTGCAATTTTTTCACAACTTTTTCACTTTTGAAACCCCATAACTCCCGAAAGTGTACTTCTATATCTACGAAACTAGCTTATCTGATAGAGTTTTTCAAGGTCAACATGTGTAAAGTCACTTTGCTCAAATCTCGTTCGTTCACCTTGAAATTTGGTACTACCTAATGTGTCTTTGATTTTCGCCCAACTTGTTCTAGTTTGAGACCGCTCCAGTTTTTTTATAATAGACTTTTCTCACAACAAAATAATTCATTTGATAGAGAATTTTATTCTCTACAAAATGGTCACAATTTCTTCAATCATTATGCAATGCATTATCCTTCAAAACGGTTGTTTTCCGATATGCCATCGGTATAAATTTTGCTCATTCAATCGCTCAATCACACGTTGCAATGCGATTGCGCATGCCCTTGGCTGACTCCGCTCCTGCGCTCATCGTCAGAGGCGTTTCTATGGCGAAGTGCGACGACGACGTCGTCTCATTATTCTAATCAACTAATAAATGATTTTCGTTTACGCTGGTAACTTTTTATCAGTCGATTTATCAGTGAATAGTCGAATTTTCGTTATCTTTCGATTCACTATCACCTGATTATTTTCTTTCACTGCTCAGTGTTTAGGCAAGAGTAATTCTGGTCTCTCAGTCGCATTCAAATACCTGTTTACCGTGAGTATTACGTTAATAAGAGGCATTGATTCGTTCTAGTTCATGGTGTAAAGTGGCCGTTTAAAGTGATTGTGCACTATCGATTGAATGGAGACTCATCAAACTCCAAGCAGAGTTTGAGTCGAGACTGATTGTAATTAGAGAAGCCTTTGATTTGATAATTGTTGTGCTTTGTGGTGCGTCGTTTAAACGTGTTCTTTGATTATCCAGTATCGAAGGTTGTTTGTTAATGTTTTGCGTAGAATTTAGATAACTTGGCTGTGAAATTTGTTCGAAAATCAAAGTGGGTAAATCTTATTCAAATGGCGCTGTTTTCATTGGAGATCTTCAGTTGCAATACAAAAACACCAAATTCGATTGCAGTTATCGAAAATGTAAGGCAGTTACTTTCATTCCAAGCTTTCGTCCCTTCTTTTCATTCCCATTGACACATGGTCATGGCAATTTCGAGAGGAGGGCCGTAGTGCGCTGTTCCTCTATTTTACTGCTAAAAAATTGCGGAGTGCGGAATAGCACGCTATTGTCCACCTGTGGTAATTTCCTCTTTCTTCGATTGAATGTTTGATTCCCGAATTAAGGATTTTGAATTTCGTATTGGTGAATGCTAGGAACGGCGCAACATCATAGGCAATGTATGACAATTTCAGTAAATTAACTGAATTAGAATTTGAATGTTATACGTTAACGAATGTGAAAAATTGAAGGGTTTTCTGATTCAACTATTACATTAATTGCTCGCAACAGGACATGAATGTCCATGAAGGATTCATAAAACTCCGTTTCAAAATCATGCGTGTGTCTCTAATTTCTAATTTTCTTATTTAGGTCACTTCCGAGGATACGATTCTCTCAATTAAGAAACGAATTGCTCAGAAAAGTTTGTTTTCTCATTCTTTTACATTTCATTGCTAAGTGCTTCGTAATATTCGCCAAGTTTTTTTCTGTTGTAACCATTTTTTTTCAAGTAATATCTCATAATTTTCTTCAGTTTCAAATTTTAGAATAGATTTAGAAGTTATCAAAATACAGTTCTGCTTCAGTTTCATTACTGGATGATTTGTTATAGAGAAAACCCTGTCGGTAGAACGTCAGTCGTTACGTTTGGATGTGAAAGGTAAAGGCTTGAAGGATGATCAGCACATTGGCGAGTTGAATCTTCCATCAGAAGGCGCACAGCTGTTCGTGAAGGATCTCGGCCCTCAAGTTGCTTGGAAAACGGTGCGGTGCATTTTCGTTGCGAAATTTGCTTCATTTTCGAATTATCAATGCTGAAGACAAGATCGGTTGAAAATTAAGAGTGAAGATCAAGGAATTATTTGAAACGTAGATAGATTTTTGAAATCTATTGAAGACTTTTCAAATTTTGAGCGAGAATCGTAAGAATATTTTGAGATCTCTTAAAAGAAGTGATAGTTTTCGTTTTTAATTGTAAAAGCTGCTTAAACTTGTTGCATTCACGATTTTATTGGTAGCTTCTACCGTCATGAAATGTGAGAAATTCATCGTATTCATAATTAAATGATGACTAAATAGATATTTTAGGTTTTCTTAGCAGAGTATGCGGGCCCATTGTTCATCTATCCGATGTTCTACTTTAGACCGTCGATCATTTATGGAGGTGTGTATTGTTTAATGGTTTCGTCCGATTTATTTTTGTTGTGGAAATTTTCCAAGTGGACATTTATTTATTTATTTGTTTGATCAACAATTGCAATAACTCATTACGAGTTATGCCTCTGTGATATCACCAATATCACATTCTTCTTTTCTTGATATTCATCTTTCCGCGCATTTGACAATGATACTGTTTGGAATCGTCTGTCTTCATAAAAGTCTTACGTTAATTATTGATTTGATGAGCGCAGAGGGTCTGGGCTACTCTGCGTATTCCTCAAAGATTTTGTGATTAGGACTCAAAATGAAGACTGGGTATTATTGTGAACACTGTTGTTGATGTTCATATCACTGGTCCATTCGTGCAGTTTATTAATTGTGCAAACGTAATGTTCGGTTTTAACGAAAGGATTGTGTTTATTGGGGATTCTGTGCTTACGTGAGCTATTTCATTGTGTTATCGTGCAAATTTTAAGAGAAATCATCAATGCCGATCGCATTCCCTGTTACATTGGCAGTGATGTGTTGGTCAGTTCATTACGCGAAACGATTGTATGAGACGCAGTTCGTACATCGATTCAGTAACGCTACAATGCCTAGATTCAATCTGTTTAAGGTAAGTTTTTGGTGATTCTCATTTATGATTGCTTATTATATCATTTATAAGGCAAACGTCGATTAGACGCTAACATAATGATAGAAAATGCTGTGTGATGGAAATTTTAATAGTGTGAATGACGTGCATAAATTTCTCTTAACAACATATATTTATGATCATATCGTTATTTATTTATTTATTTTTTGCTTTTTGATTTGATAACACACGAACGAATATTCAGAATTGCTGTTATTATTGGGGATTCTGTGCGTACGTGAGCTACTTCATCAATCATCCACTTTATACACCTGCATCGTTTGGCACTGTTCAGATTTTGTCTGGTCTGATTGGTTTTGCGGTATGTGAAATGGGTATGTTGTTCGAAATATTGTTGTTGCTGTTGATGATTTTGGAATTGAATCTGAAAAGTTGATTTGAAAATTGCAATCGATTTCACACTTAGATGATCGATCTTGTACTGATTATGTGAGAGATATTCAGTGAATATTAGATCGGACATGAAGTGTAGGTTGCAGTTGATAG